GTTGTGAATGGTGGTGGACAATTAAACAACTCACTTTGGAGGAGGAGGCTCCACAAATATCCCCATCCTCAATGATGGAAGAGCCCAGCACATCAGTACAAAAGATAAGGCTGAAGCATTCGCAGCAATCTTCAGCCAGAAGTGCCGAGTGGATGATCCATCTCGGCCTCCTCCAGTGGTTCCCAGCATTACAGATACCAGTCTTCAGCCAATTCGATTCACTCCACGTGATATCAAGAAACGGCTGGAGGCACCGGACACTGCAAAGGCTATGGGCCCTGACAACATTCCGGCAATAGTACTGAAGACTTGTGCTCCAGAACTTGCCGTTCCCTTAGCCAAGCTGTTCCAGTACAGTTACAACACTGGCATCTACCCAACAATGTGGAAAATTGCCCAAGTATGTCCTGTGTACACAAAGAAGGACAAATCCAACCCAGCCAATTACAGCCCCATCAGTCTCCTCTCGATCATCAGTAAAGTGATGGAAGGTGTCATCAACTGTGCTATCAAGCAGCACCTGCTCAGTGATGCCCAGTTTGGATTCCGCCAGGGCCACTCAGCTCCTGACCTCATTACAGCCTTGGTTCAAACATGGACAAAAGAACTGAATTCCAGAGGTGAGGTGAGAGTGACAGCCCTTGATATCAAGGCTGTATTCTACCAAGTGTGGCATCGAGGAACCCTAGTAAAACTGGAATCAATGGGTACCAGGGCAAACCCTCCAGCGGTTGGAGTCATACCTGACACATAGGAAGTTGGTCGTGGCTGTGGAAAGTCAATCATCTCAGCTCCAGGACATCTCTGCAGGAGTTCCTCAGGGTAGTGTCCCAGGTCCAACCATCTTCAGCTGCTTCATCAATGACCTTCGCTCCATCATAAGGTCAGAAGTGGGGATGTGCAATCATCTGCGAACAATGTTCAGCACCATTCGTGACTCCTCATCCACTGAAGCAGTCCATGTTCACATGATCTGGACAATATCTCAGCTTGGGCTGACAAGTGGTAAGTGACATTTGTGCCACACAAATGCCAGGCTATGACCATCACCAATAAGAGACAATCTAACCACCGTCCTTTGACATTCAGTGGTGTTACCATCACTGAATCCCCCACTGTCAACATCCTGGGGGTTACCATTGACCAGAAACTCAACTGGACTCACCACATTAACACAGTGGCTACAAGAGCAGGCCAGAAGCTGGGAATACTGCGGCAAGTAACTAATCTCCTGACTCAAAGCCTGTCCACCACTTACAAGGCACAAGTCAGGAATGTGATGGAATACTCCCCATTTGCCTGGATGAGTGCAGCCCCAACAACACTCAAGAAGCTTGACACCATCCAGGACAAAGCAGCCCACTTGATTAGCACTACATCGACAAACATTCACTCCCTCCACCACCGACGCTCAGCAGCAGTGTGTACTATCTACAAGATGCCCTGCAGAAATTCACCAAAGATCCTCAGACTGCACCTTCCAAACCCACAACCACTTCCATCTGGAAAGACAAGGGCAGCAGACGTATGGGAACACCACCACCTCCAAGTTCCCCTGCAAGTTATTCACCATCCTGACTTGGAAATATATCACCGTTCCTTCACTGTCGCTGGGCCAAAATCCTGGAATTCTCTCCCTAATAACATTGTGGGTCAACCCACAGCAGGAGGAATGCAGTGGTTCAAGAAGGCAGCTCACCACCACCTTCTCAAGGGCAACTAGGGATGGGCAAGAAGTGCTGGCCAACCAGCGATGCCCACATCCCACAAAATGAATAGAAAAAAAAAATTAGTGATGATTGAACCAGCTGCTTGTAAGAGACCAGAACTGAAGTTCTACTTAGTCTGTAAAAGTTCCCTGCTGTAAATTCTCAGTCGAGGCCTTGTGCAAACCTAAGTGTTGGAGCCCAGAGCAAATTTTGGTAAGAGCTGGTTGTGCAATCACAAACTGTTGTGCAATCACAAACTGCTGTGCCAGTATCAACCTCCATTGGGATTGGGTACCATTTAACTAGATGTTTGTTTTGGTTCTGATTTGGATGCTAAGCTATTTAACTGTTCCAAACCAAATGTAAGTAGACTTTCCAGGGTATGCACTCTCCCGGATACCAGCCCCTTGCTCAATTTTTGGGTCTCAAGTGACTCTTCAGCTGTTTCACATCTGCATGCCAGCAGCAACTATGGCTTGCCAGCCTGTATCCTGAAGAAAATTTTAACCATTTGGCCAAGACTTAGCTATGTTTTGGAGTTTTGCTGTCGGCTGACCTACAGTCCCTATGTTCAGGAAATATCCTGAGTGGGGCTATGCTAACGCCTTCACTCAAATGACGTTCTCTAAACTCAGTCAGACTGGTGAAGGTATCCACTTCCATTGGAATACGCAGGAACTCATGCTCCACTTCATGCATTTTCCGATGGTAAAGCTAATTTTGGTGCCTGTTTGAAGTCCATTTGGGCTTCAGCTGGTAGGTGCTTTGGCATGTTACATCATTAATCTCGTCACCACTGGAATAACTCCACAGAGGCCGATATCTTGACACCAAGTCCCCTTTTATTTGCACGTGAAAAGTCCTTGACACTGATCCAGCTCCCTCGGAGCTAGTTTTCAGAGTGTGAGGATGTCTGACAGTCCTGTTTTTATCTGTCAGTCAGGGCTCCCTGATTGGGGCTGTTAATCTGGTACAGTCAGGGAACTCTCATTCTGAGGTTCACCTGCTTGACCTTGTTACAATCACTACAATGTATGAGACTAGAGATAGTAGGAACTGCAGATGCTGGAGAATCCGAGACAACAAGGTGCAAGGCTGGATGAACACAGCAGGCCAAGCAGCATCATAGGAGCAGAGAGGCTGACGTTTCGGGCCTAGACCCTTAATCAGAAAAGGGGGAGGGGAAGGGGGTTTTGAAATAAATAGGGAGAGAGTGGGAGGCGGATAGAAGAGGGATAGAGGAGAGGATAGGTGGAGAGGAAACAAACAGGTCGAAGAGGCGGGGATGGGGCCAGGAAAGGTGAGTGTAGGTAGGGAGTTAGGAAGGGGATAGGTCAGTCCAGGGAGGACGGACAGGTCAAGGGGGCGGGATGAGGTTGGTCGGTAGGAGATGGAGGTGCGGCTTGAGGTGGGAGGAGGGGATAGGTGGGAGGAAGAACAGGTTAGGGAGGCAGGGACGAGCTGGACTGGTTTTGGGATGCGGTGGGGGGAGGGGAGATTTTGAAACTT